CTGATGGTCCATTTACCAGCAGTAACTGCCCATCTAAAGCAAAAGTATATTGAAACCAAAATGTTTTAAAGTCCTTTTCAGAAGGATTAGGATAGTTGGAAAATTTTACTGTGTTAGCATAGTTTTTAGTTAATTGCATTGATTTTTGGTTAAATTGTTCTTGTGTGCAAAATATATTTTTTCAAAGGTCTGATTTAAAGTTTTGAGAATTTACCCTTTGATTCTAAATGCATATTAGAAACATCCTGTCGTACTTACTTGCATTCTCTAGAAAAAGAAATTGTACAACCTATAGTCCAGTTGACATTTCACTGGTCATGAGAAGAATGGGTTTCACATGGTTGCTTTCTTATTGATTCTATTATACACTACTGGGGGGAAATTAGAATTTTTGTGTCAAAAACTCAAACAGCTGACTGATCAGTGGGACATAGGAGGGGAGCCTGCTGATGTGCCTTCATGCTCTTTTCTGTTCTATTCCCACCCTCTTGTTATGTGGGATATATGCATTGATAATGGAATGCCTGCTTTCGAAACAACGTATTTATCCATGTTCCCTTGGACAACTTGAAAAGTGGTTAAATCCTCCAACTCTGCATGCGCTTGGAATCTTCCAATGTTACTTCACCACACATTCTGTAGAGTGCTATAAGTTTTCTGTAAAAAAAATGGCAGGTGGGACAATGTATAGGGATGAAAAACAAATGAATATTTGTTACATTTCCTTGACAATGAATTTCACTGCAATCAGTGTTGATTGCATAAAAATTGTATTGTAAGTCTTCAACATAGTTCAAAGTGTTTTCTGCTTGTTGATGCTTTATATTCTGCAGGAACAGATGTTGTCGTTGTAAAAAATGGACGACGAGTATGCGGTACAGGGGGGTGCTTAGCTAATGCTCCTTTGCATCAGAACAAGAGCTATTTTGAGTTTAAAATCCAGTCTACAGGTCAGTCAAAATCAGCTTTTTCAAGAATTCATTTCATATTATTCATATAGAAACAAAATCTCTAATGGCTGTACAGATAGACTGTCATTTGCAAATTCTATATGTGTGTGTGTGTGTGTGTAATACTATGAACAGTGTTGTAATGGCTATTTGAAGATTTCTAATCCTTACATAATAATTAGAACCATAATGAAGGTATATCTTCATCCACTTATTGCTGTTTTTCATCGTTCAGTTAGGAAAAGTTCAGCTATATAATTGTATATGCAAATTTCAGCTATTATAGCTATCAGCTTTCATTTATGAATGTTTTCTCACAGCAATGAAATACTAAGTTTCATTATCTTAATTGGAGACAATTTAGAATTGTTTCTTACTGTGGCAAACCCAGGAAAACTCTTGGACTTAGTTTTACTGTTTTTTATCTAATGACTATGCCATTCCATTTTTTGCCTCTACTGTGATTTCAGGAATCTGGGGTGTTGGAGTTGCAACTCAGAAAGTCAACCTGAACCAAATTCCTCTTGGGAATGATGTAAATAGTCTAGTTCTGAGAAATGATGGAACTCTTTACTATAACAATGAAGAAAAGAACAGATTGCCAGCAAACAGTCTGCCACAGGAGGGTGATGTTGTAGTGAGTTTCGATTTTTTTTCACTATCATTTATGTGAATCAAAATATCTGAAAAGAATGTGACCTATTGCTGAAATCCCATACCAGCAATTTGCTCTATATTAAAATATACCTTTATATGTCTCTTTTATGTCTGTTTTGGTTAAAGTTACCATTAGCTATATAAAAATTTGACATGCATGTCTTTGAAAAGCTGGCAACATAGACCTGTACTGAAACAGACATATTTATACTGAAGTCATTCCCTATATAATACAATTATAATATAATATAAATATAAATATAATATAATTCTAATAGAAGATAAAAAAGGCAAAATTTGTAGAAAAATATCAGTTTAATATACAGCATTGACAAAAACATTTTAATAGCAGAGCTTAAACATTACATACAGTACTTTACTTACAAACAGTTTACATATCAAGAGGCTGTCCATTTTATTTGTAAATCCAAGTGTACCTATAACCTCCTCCTGACTTTTGACACCACCTAGATTGGAGTTGGAGACAGGTTTGTTTATATGGGCAAAAGTTTGTAAGTAGAGTAATCTCTGTATTGCTTAATGGGTATTATATAATGTGAATCAGGCATGTTGTCTTTTATAGTGTTCCTAAATAAATATAGACTTCATATTGCATGTTTCATAGATACTCATCAATAGATAACATTTTTTCTACCAAATTGTAAATATTTTTGTGTGAAGTATCATTGTTAATGTTTAGTTTCTTAGGATAGGTTTAAAAATGGTAAAATTGTAAAATATCTCAATAATATGGGTAGAACTTTTGTTGCTTTCTGTATACCTACCTAAGAATCAGGTAAGGATTTTATTATTAACTTTCCTCATTTTATGGTCCTTCCTGCTTGTGGATTCCAATAATAAGGGGAAAAAAACCCTATCTACTTACCAGTAGTTGTTTGTTCTTCTTCCTCATATATTTTTGCTTTAAAAAAAACATGACCAAGTGTTTTTTGTAAATATTTTCCATATTTAATTTGCTAATATTCTAATCAATTTATAATATACAGGTAGTTCTTCCTCTGTCACACTCAGAAGCAGTGATATATGGCTGAATTTGATTTTCAATACAGGAATAAAGTTTCATTATCCTTGCTTCTATTATGCTTTCAAAAATTCTATTTCTTCTTGGAAGCCTTTTTTCCATTGTAAATTTGGATCCTGCTAAATTCTTTCTCTGTATTTTTTTCAGACGAAGTATTTTAAAATTTAAGGTATAACTAACTTGAGTTTTCGGAGTTCTTATAATTACAAATTTCAAGATGATATAGTCATTGCTTTTAGTGGTTCTTCCAGTTGTGCTTGGAATTTTGACAGCATGTTATGAATGCTGACAAAAAGACTATAGTAGGGAAACAGACAGATTTCCAAAGTAGGGAATTATAGTCACTTATTTTTTCCTCCACCTAAGAGTGATTTAGCAGTTTACATGGAGCAGTGTTAGAAATCCAAAGTAGGGTTGAAGTTGTGACATTTTGCTTCAAGAGTATCTTTCTTAATGTCACTTTTGTTTTTATAGTAGAGGGCAAGATTTTTCTATTTTTTTCATCTTTCTTGAATGCTTAATGTTTGACATTGTGATAATTGTAATTTTATTGTTTTCTGAGAGCAGCATTGTTTCAATTGGCAGTGAATAATTTCATGTTGTGTGGAAGAAGAGAAGGAGGAAGGAGTATTATGTACATTTACTGGCCTGAGTTACTTATTAAGTAATAAAGATGGAATAAAAATGTATTAAATATCAGCCTAAAATGTTCAGAATAAAGTGTGTGAGTGTTCAATTAAAACAAAAAGGGGGATGAAAGTTTATATATAAAATTCATATCTGTCTTACAGGGAATTACATATGACCATGTAGAACTAAATGTTTATTTAAATGGAAAAAATATGCACTGTCCAGCCTCAGGAATCAGAGGAACAGTCTTCCCTGCAGTCTATGGTAAGGAGACATTCTCACATTTTAATGAATGAAATGTTACATTTGATTTGGGTTCAGCTACCTACTCATCCATAAACTGAACTTGGTAATTGGGCTATATTGTCATCTTTACCTCTCTATTCCATGTTAACTGCTACCTCTATTGAATACCTCTTAGATACCTATTAAATTTCTGTATGTCACTTATTTCAGCACAACGGCCTAAAAAAGTAAAACGTATAGCTGGCAATGTAGCAGAAAGTTCAGGGTTAGTAAACGGATTATTTATTATAGATTGCCAAATGACTCTGTGGCTTAAAAGCTGAAAAAAAACCCGCATATAAAAGAATATAGCTGACCAATAGAACATAATAACAAACCAAAACCAAAACAGATCAGTCCAAAATAAAAGGGGCTCCTGTCCCAAAGGCTTGTGGAAACAATCTGAATAACACAAAGGAGGAAAGCATGCAAATCTGTGTGGAGATCATTCCAGAGGACAGGAATTGCAACATCTCTGTAATACACTTCATCTCATGAACATCCAATGAGGTTTGCAGTAATAAACAAAGAGCATTTGAATGTGATGTGTATATCTTCTTTTTTTTCCCCTTACAGTTGATGATAGTGCCATTTTGGATTGTCAGTTCAGTGACTTCTGTCATGCTCCTCCTGCAGGTTTTGAAAAGATACTCTTTGAACAGCAGATTTTCTGAAGGTTCCTACTGCATATTAACTAGCACTTTTTAAAACCCATTCTTTCAAACTTCACATTATTCCCAGAATACTAATGTTGTATTTGATCAGTCTATTTAATGTTTGGGAAAATATAAGTTTATCTGGAAACTATGTTGCTGGTTTAGATTTATCTACTGTTTGTGATACGATAATATTTGTATTTGATGTAAAGGGACACAGTTGACAGTATTTAGTGACCATGGACTCTAAAGAATGCTGTATAATATGCTATACAGTAAAATTTGTTTGTAAATGTCACATTTCCATAAAATAGCAGAGTCTAATAGTTATTCAACAATGTTTCTCTAATATATGTAGTAATTAGAGAAAATAATTTTGAGGATAACAACAGTAAAAATATTGATACCTCTTATCCTTTTTAAGCACTGGGATTCTAACGTTTAATTCTAAGCATTTGTGTTAAAATTAGAATAAATTGCTGCCTGTTAAAAACCAGGCTGCTAATATCTATCGTACAAAAGCTGTCAATGGAACAAAGTAGTACTGAAAAGCCTGTTGCTTGTTGTGATAAAGTTTTATTTTTTTAATTCTTTATTATATTTTTTGGAGTTCTCCAAAAATATAAAATGTACAAACTGCTCTTCTGTTTGTTTTTATGGTTATTTTAAATTGCTTTTCTTGTGCACTGAGGATGTATATATATACAGCTTTCCTGTACATCCAGAACAATGAAACCTGCTATAAGGAAATTGCTATATCAGAATTATAAGCTTTTGTCTGTCCTTGCATTTTGTTGTGGGAGGGAGTGGAAATAACTTTCTGAGATTCTGTTGTTACATTTCGTATATTTAACTATACCAAGGCAAATAAGTGAAAAAGTGATTTGCTCTATTTTGTTATATAGGCTTTATAGTCTCAAGAGATTTAAAGAATGTGCATTCTTCATAATATACTAATGTTAGAAAAACTTCCCTATTAATTTTAATATTCCTCAGGGAAGTGTCCTTTTTCAGCCTTGTAGGAAATTTTTTTCCAACAGCTAGTTACAGATATACATATGAATTCAGTTTGTGCTATTGGCAAATATTCTAGAACTCCAAATTCTGCACTTGGAAAGATATGTATAAAACACTTAGTCTGCTACTATAAAGTCATGCATTTAACCCAATTTACTACAGTAACCAAAATTTCTGGGAAGTGTATCAACAAGGGATAAAATAGGTAATAGTAACAAACAGTATGTGTTCCTAGGTATATTTTAGCTACAGTTGCCCATTTGATCCTCTTAAAATTAAAGATAGAATATTCTAAAGTATGTGTAATCAACATTTCTTTTGGTTATTTTGGGCATTTGAAAAGATGAAAAAGGTATAGTTGAGAAAATAAATTTAAAATATTTTTAGAATTGAATTTGATTTAAAATTCATTCCCAAATTTTAAATATATGCCATCCTGGATAATTTCATGCCCTTATCGTAGTCCTCTTAAAAGCATCTGTTTGGCTACAGCAGATAGCATATTTTATTTATAACGTTACATATGAATTTAAATTCTGCCATTTTAATATTCTGCCCTCTAATCTACTTTTTGTTCAACCATGTTAAGACTTGTGATCTTCAAACATTACATAAATCTGAATGTGATCCTCAAAACAGATCTCTCTCCACTGCGTTACTGGATGTGTGATAACATGTTTTGGGATTTAACCTATTCCATATCTTCAATAGTGTATTTATTGAATATTTCATATATTATCTTCAATATTGAAGTTTTTACAAATTACCCTCCACATTCTCTGAATGTAGGTTTTCAAAATAAATTGTTGCTTGTGTACTCTCTAATAAAATCAGCTTTAAAAGTCTGCAGAACTGCCTCAAAACCTTCAAATTAAAATCATGATCTGGACAGTAACATCTTGATATAACTGGTTTTACAGTTCCTGGATTGGGTAGAAGGATACATCTAATTAGCTATTAAATCAAGGAGAGAAGCAACCTAGAACTAAGGACAAATTTCCTGACAGAACAATTAATCAGTGGAACAACTTGCCTCCAGAAGTTATGAATGCTCTAACAATGGAAGTTTTTAACAAGAGATTGGACAACCATTTGTCTGAAATGGTGTAGAGCTTCCTGCCTGAGCAGGGGGTTGGACTAGAAGACCTCCAAGGTCCCTTCCAACTCTGTTATTCTGTTAAATTGTTACATCTCTTTTAAATGAGCTTTCAAAGTGTAGATTCCAGCATTTTGTTCTTATCAGACCTGTTAGAAAATAAGGAGATTCAGTTGTAAGATTTGTATTCATATAACCAAAGTATAAGCTCTCAATCATGTCTAGATTTGGAGTAAAGCTACTCATATGAGTATTTGTTCCATTTTATATCTCGACTAAAGAATTGAGACAAATTAGAAACAGTCATTTCTCATTCTGAAACAATGGATCATGGGATGTTGTATACCACATCATGTTACCTCTAAACAGCCATTCCAGTATAATATAAATAGTCCTCAACTTGTGAGCATAATGGAGTCCCGAAATTTCATTGTAAGTAGTGGAAATTGGCATCCATGTGACTGGCCCAATATTATGACTTTTTCCGGGGCAATCATTAAGTGAACGTCATGGTCCTTAAGCGAATCCATTCCTATAAGCATTTTTTGCCGGAAACTGGCTGAAAATGTCAAAAAAGTACATTGTGATCATATGACTGCAGAACACTGCAACCAGCCATAAAGATGAGCTGGTTGCCAAGCACTAAAAATGCAATAATGTGACCATGGGGAAGAGCCATCTTTGGTATCCCAGAACTGGGTTGTAAGGAGCTTGGGGGGGGAGGGAATCTGTTATAATTTTGAACAATCACTAAATGGCTAATTGTTAAGGGAGGACTACCTGTATAGTGAATTATCGATTAACTTTCCTAGTTTGTTTGAAGAGTCAGTCAGGTCTAGTGATTAAATGCTGGCTTGTGAGTTCTAGTCCCACTTTAGGCATGAAAGCTAGCTAGGTGACTTTGGGCCACCTCACAGGGTTGTTGTGAGAAAAACAGGAGGAGGAGGAGTATTAGGTACATTTGCCACATTGAGTTACTTATAAAAATAATAAAGGTGGAATATAAATAAAATCAAGGTAAATATTAGCCAGAAAACATAATTATTCTCTAGAAAATCAATGTAATCCAAAAGATTTTAGAATTACTGTATATCACTGCTGGTTGCTCAAATATCTTCCTGCAAATAGAGTAGCTGCAGTTGACTGATATAGGTATTATGATTTTCACAGACCAGAAAGAGTCTCGTAGAGAGAGATTGATTATGAGAGCATGGTCTTCAAGATAACTGAAAACTTTTTTAAAAATCAGTTCCTGGACAGAGCCAATCTTTGATAAGTGTTATTAACTTAAAAGAACAGCAATCAATCATAATCATTAAAATGTCTGTACATTTTCCTGCAAAGGACCTTATCCGCATCTTTGGCAGAGTTTTCTATATCTCTTACTACCATCCCATGGTTGTCTGTATGGTGGCTATACAGATGAAGAAGCCTTATTTTTGTGTACAGTAGTTGAAAATCTGAAAAAATACCAGATGGTGCTTTGAGGGACCACCTCTCCCCAGGTACCTCTACTTATCCCATCTAATTTGGCAGAATGAACTGATCCCATCAAGAATGTCATCTTAAAGGGCCCAGGAAGAGAGAGGTTTTAGTTATTCTGCCTGTCTTTTGGGACACAGAAATTAGATTAGCCCTGATTGCTCATTTGTAAGGGTTTTTTGCAACACCTTGAAGATGTGGCTGTGTTTCTGGATTGGAGGTTTGGAAATAGAGTCTACAAGGTGATTAGCTTGATAGCTCTTTTATCTTGGCATCTGATTATTACTTTTTCTGCTTTAACTGTTGTTAGCCACCCATAGTCACTATGATGAGGTGGGCAGTTATATACATTAAAATATATTTTAAACTGTTTGAACTGCAGCATTTTAGCATAGTAATTTTATTCAGTGACAAATATCTCTTGGCAGGACTTTGAAAGTGATATTAAATCATGTAAACAAGAAAGAAAAATCACACTGGATTTTTCCAGTGAGGATGCTAATATCACTACCATTAAATCAACAGACTTGCTTCTGATCAAACTTGGAGATTTGCTTTTTTCAACTTGCATCCCATCTGTCTCTTCTATCTGTTTATTCTCTACTAACTCATAAAGCCAATTGCTGCCTTTGTTAGAAGAAAATACTTAAGTAACCGTGGTTATATTAACTATCCATTGATTCCATATACTGTACCAGCTAGGACCAACAATTGGGAAACTTTTTGAAAATTTCAGAAATCCCTTAGGCTCTATCAGTTTCCAAGGATGGATTGTCTTCATCCTCCATTTGTACAAAGTATGCAAATCTAAGTTTCAGTAAAAAAAATAAAAATAAATAGTCCTACTATGGTATTTGGTCATAACAAATTTCTGCACTTTCCCGTTTTATTGCAAACATAAACCCATAATAAATCCACAGTCATATCTCAGGGATGGCTGTCTTATGGGGCAACCTCATGCCAGAGCATAAAGAATGAATGTATCCAGGGCAAACACCTTGTGGTCCTCAAGGTAGATTCTGAAATGATCAGATGGCTGTTGACCCATGGGATTCTTTAATAGGCTTCCAAATATTGCCAGGTATCCCAATATGAGGGGCAAAAACTAATTCAATTTTCAACTCTATTGAATATTCATGAAAAAAATCAAGCCTTACAAAATTTGTGGGTGAGCACAGCATTACTTGCAGTGCACGTTTAATTGTTGTTTTATATGGCGAGTTAAACAACAAGAAATATCAAATATGTTTGGCCACCGTTTCTTCAACAAGACAAAATTAGTCGGGTTCCTACCTTGGCGACAAGTGATCGCCCTCGACTTATAAGACATAATGACTAGATTCACCAAGGCCACGTAACTGCTTCGCACTTCGGGGAAACGCATCCTTTCTGCAGACCCAAGCAGCCCGCAGCCCGTCTCTTTACGGTGGCTGCTAGCTAAACTCTTCCCTGGGATCCTCAGTGAACTTCAGACCACTTAGCAGCGGACTTCAGTCGGACTACGAGGAAAACTGAGCAGCTCCTTTCCCTTCAGCCTCTCCTTTCCCGCTTACTCTGCCCGGCCCCAACCCTCGATGCCTGCGCCGCACATGGGCAGCTGTCATTTCCGCTCAGAAAAGCGAGCGGAACCAACCCTCCTACCAAGGCAGCCTCCCTCAGCCTCCCGGCCACTGGAGCTTCGGAATTCTCTCTCCGCTCCTGCAACAGTCCAGCCGGCTGTGCGCATGCGCCGCCCTCCGTCGTTTCCCGTTTGTTTCGTCACTGAGCGTCTGCCTGCCCGTTCCGCCCCCCCTCCCCTTTCGCGCGCGCGCTGTCGTCGCTCCTTCAGCCCAGAGCCGCTGCCGCCGCCGCCGCCGTCGCCGCCGCCGTCGTCATGGCTGACAACGCCGCCGCCGGCCTGGAGAACCACCGCTTCAAGAGCTTCAAGAATAAGGGCCGCGACGTGGAGGTCTGTGCCGGCCTGGGACAGTCCCTTTCCGTCTGGTGGGGGAGTGGCCGGGTTTTACTTTCTCAGCCAGCGGGAGGCTTGGTGGCTCTGCGCCCGGTGGTGGGACCATGTCGGCAGACGCACCGACACACGCACCGCCTCCGCCATCTGCCTGCTGGGCCCGGCCTGGTTCCCTCTGCCCACCTCGACCGGGCCGGCATGGGGGGATCCGGCCCTTAAGTGGGCGGGCGGGCGGGCAGCGGGGTTTCTCAGGCTCCCTTTGTGATTCGGCTCTTTCCCCAGACTTGAAGTGAGTCTGGGCTGATCGGGCTCGCTTTGAATTCTTGTCCGTGAGACACAATAATAATGCCGGCAGGGCGAGAGCCTGATTAGTCCTATCAGTCTTGCTCACCTTCTGGTGGTGGGGAAGCAGGTCGTAATCTTCCTTCTGACTCTTCACCAAGGACGCCGAAATGTGGGGCTTGGCCGATCTTCTTTGTCCTTTATCATTCCCCCAGAATAGTGTACACACTGGATGGATTCCCAATGAGATACTTAGGAGAGCTCTGACAGCCTATTTCCGTCACTTCTTTAGCTTCCTTATTAATAAGGCTTTGGGAAGAGATTTACAATGTCTCCGTTTGCTTTCCTAATTACTTCTGATGCACCTACTATACATCTCCGTGGAATTCCTATCAAGTTTGATCTTCCTTTTATTGCTTTTATTGCTCCAGGGTATTGCAGCTCTGGATACACGTATAGTCCACTGGGTTGGTTTGAGTCATTCTTATTTTCTGAACAAAACTTAATTTTACCCCCTAAACAAATGCTTAATTCAAAGTATGAGCCACAGAACACCATTTTATGTTGGTGATATCACTCGCTACTTAACAAAAGTGAGCTTTTGCGTTTTTACCTGGCAGCAGTGCCTCACAATTAACTACAAATGTAAGAAGGAAGAAAAAAAAATCAAGTTCTATGTAAGTTCAATTTTCCAAGACTGTATTCAGATTTAAAGGTAGGAAGTGATAAGAATAGTTTGAAGAATATGGAATATGGTAATATAGTCTTAGGCTGAGTTCTTTGGTTTTGACAGTTTATGCACAAATAACCAGTGCTTTAATATATTGTAGTAACAAACTACGACAGGAGCATTATGTATACTGCCTTGAGTTGTGCAGGTACAGGTAGGATATAAATCTAATAATAAATATAAGAGACAGACTATATATTGTTTAATTATAGCTGATTTGTTAGGCTTTATAGGTCTGCCATACAGTAGAGTACAGTAGAGTATAGCAGTACACCTGGAACGCTATAGAATTCAGTTCTTTTCTTACACAAGCATAATACGTATTTTTTATTTTATACTTTATTTTATGAACTAGCTACTTTGGAGATCACTCACCCAATTCTTCAGAGATAATTCTTTGTAAGGGCTCCTATTAGTAGATATTAATATTTCCCATATTTGTCGATTCTGAAACTTCCTGATTTGGAAATTATGGATTCCTATAATAATTAATGATTTTAGTATCAAAATAAGTAATGATATGTCTTAGAGTTCAGAATACCCCTTTCCTTTCATTATTTGGTAACTTCAGATATAATATTGGCTGACCAGTATTTTTTTCTGGGGTCTAATAATCAACAATATGTAAAGTTTCTATTTTTTCAGTTATAGTTGTGGTGGCTAGCTAATCAAACATTTAAAGAAATTGTTGCATTTTCACATTTTAAAAAGAAGCAAAATTCTGCTTCGTACTGATATGTATGTGTTGCATATATGTGTAGCATATATTGCATATATTATATTTTGTTATTGATTGTATTTGCAAATACGTCTACTGAAATGTGGCATGTTTAATATGCTTATATTGTTTAGATCCATAGATTTTACCACAAGCATGATTAAATAGTGATGTTAAATCCCCATCTATAAAATTTTTAAAATTTTAAAATTTTATAAGTAGAAGACCATATTTCAAGACTATAGTTTTAAAGACTTTATAATGCAGGTAAGAGCTATAGCCTGATTAGTACAATGGTTCTACCTTTCTTTCCCAAGTTAGTTGAATTTCACTAGGACAACTAGATGGTGCTATTCCATCTAATGTTACAGTTTATGTGCTTAAAATATTTATGTCCCCATTTCATTCAAAAAGCTTGACAATCAAGATTAAAGGAGCAACTAGAAACGTTTATCCCTAAAATAGTAGCAGACTGAAGAATATTGGCATGAATAAAAGAAAGGTGTATCATTAATGTTTCTAGTGCTGAAGTGACAGCAGTAAATCATATATCTTCATTGATAGTGTTTCATACTACTTAGGTATTTGGAAAATGTTTTCTTCTTATTGTATCAGTCTTACTTTGACTGATTCATACCTTGTGGGCTTAAAATGTAAAACTTTGATTCTTTTAACCCATTGAGATTTCTCCTCTCCCAAGATTTGGATAATATATCAGTGATGAGATTGTAATAGGCAATCCATGATAGTTTTTTTTTAAAAAAATAGATATCTTTAAACTCCAAACCAGTGTTAGATAATGACGTTAAAGAGAGGAGTAACAAGGAAGCCTGAAACAAATCAAATTTTGCCTTGGAGGAAAAAAAGTGACAATTAGGAAGCATAGACAATATAGAAATCAATTTCTTACTGCAGTCTGGACAGAGTGATTTAAATGACAGTTTTCAGTAATGTTCATCATATAAGCACTTTATTTAATTTAAATACATTTGTTACAGCCACTCATTCCATTAGACTCTGGGTGGCTTACAAAATCCAGAAATGGTACAAATGGTTAAGTATACATAAACAGGCAGAGTAAAACAACCAAAATAATAAACAATACAGATTATGACGGGGGACCACAAATACTTCAATAAACATTAACCCAGGCCTGGGAGCAGAGCTGAGTTTTAAGAGTTTTCCAAACCCCCAGAGAAGTAGATACTATTCATATTTTGGGGGGTGGGGAACGCTGTTCCAGAAGGCAGGGACACTGATAGGAGACATACTTCCTCGATTCCAATAGACGGCAACATTTGATAAAGGGGACCTGGAGTGTACCTGAAAGGCTTTATATAGGATGACTTTCACCTTGAATTGCACCTGGAAGCCTACTGGCAATCCATGCAGCTCATCTAGTACACTTATGCAATGCATATAACATGAAGTGCCTGTTATACTGTTCACACCACTGTAATTTGCACCAGCTGTAGCTTCCAGGTGATCTTCAAGGGTAGCGTTATATATTGTGCGTTGCGATAGTCCAATTGTGAAGGAGATGAGGGCATGAACAACTATCTGAAGGGCTTCTTAGTTGAGAATAAGGCACATATTTTCAAGCAGGAGCTGCTTTTCCAGGAAGATCCCCAAATTGCTATTTTGAATTGGAAAGTACAACCCATCCAAGTCCAATGATAAAAATATCCCCACCTCAGGGAGATCAAACAGTCATAGCTACAGTCTTGTCAGAATTGAGCCAGTCTATTCTTTCCCATCTAGATCAGCACAACCTGCAGAGACTGGGTCAGTACATTGACAGCTTCATTTGTGCAACTCATGGGTAAGATGTACAGCTGGGTATCAACATACTGATGATGCCAAAGCCCAATAGTTTCATGTAGTTGTTAAACAGAAGGGGGAAGAGCATCGAGCCATCAGGCACTCCACAAATGATGGGCCAAGGGCACGATCCCCCCTCCCCGATCAAAACAAGCCTTGATAGTACAGTGGTTTAGTGCACCCTGTCATTAACACAGCTGCCTGCAATTTCTGCTGGTTCGAATCTCTCCAAGGCTCAAGGTTGACTCAGCCTTCCATCCTTTCTAAGGTAGGTGAAATGAGGACCCAGTTTGTGGGGGCAATAAGCTGACTTTGTATAAAATATACAAAAGAATGAAGGCTATTGCTTAACGCATTGTAAGCCGCCCTGAGTCTCCGGAGAAGGGCGGCATATAAATCAAATTAAAAAAAAAAAAAACGCCAACTGAGACTAAGGAGTAAGGCAAACCACTCAATACAGTTCCTCCCTTTTCCAGCCCCTGCAACCAGTTCAGAAGGATACCGTGGTCAATGGCATCAAAAGCCAACCTAAGTATGAATTATTGCAACAAGAATATTGTTCATTGGAAAAAGCAAACTTAATAAGAAGAATCCTGGTGCTTCCAAGTTGTAAATAATTCTTTTTTTGTCACTGTGTAAGTGAAAAGTGATTTGGAATCTTTCTTATTAGTTCAGGAAGTCAGATCACTTTTTAAAATAAAGTACATTTTTAAGAATATTGTTGATAAAACTGGGAAAATTTAAGTATCTTGGCATTCACATTATATACATACATATATACAGTACCTGTGTGGAAGATTAGTGTGGAATGGTTGCTAAAACAATGGTTGTATTAGATTTTTGATGATAAAGAGACAAACATTTTGAATATACTGGTACTATAGGATCATGAGCATCAACTGAAATGATCAACCTTTGTCTTGCTAAATGGATATAAGATATACGCCCTCAACCAGTATCTTTCCATGCTTACATTTTCCAAACTAAGAATTGCTCATATGAGTTGTAGAGTCACATTTAAAGTACATCAAGAAGTTTGTATTGTACAATACAAAGAAGATCCTCCTTTAAGTATTTTTAATAACTTTTCTTCTGCATTCAAAATACTTAGTCTAAGGATATATTAACTCTGAAACTGTCAGATTATTGACTCATTTCACACATTTTGTCCAGTAATAGTTTTCTGGAACCAGAGGCAGAGCTGTGTGGAATGATACCTACTGAAGATGCTGACAATCAGATGAGGACTCTTTTCCTAAATATTCTGTTTTTCCTTCATCTTGTATTTGCTTCTAGAACATAATTGTTGGGGGGGGGGCTTTTATAAATCGGTGGCATTTCCTTGTTGCCCTATTTAAGAGAAGAGTAGTACAGGGTGCTGCTTTTGAACTGATGAGAAAAGAAAGGTTGAAAAATACTTCATCCTTTTCATTTTATCTCTTCAAGGGT